TCAGCCCCCTGTTTCTTCATGAGTTCCACAGGGGACTGAAACTGATACCATTCACCTTCCAACAATCTAGAACCATTGTCTACACCAGCCGGATAATTCATCTGCCACCTGCACTCCAGGCAGTGAAATACGAACGAAAATATGTCAATCCAAATAACTTCAATGGAAGATTGAAAAGATTGACAAAAACGAATGGAAAAATCATGTGGAATGTGTCACCTGACAAGAAGCGCGGAGTTTTTACGCTTCCAGAATTGCAAAAATAACACAGCCCAAGAAACTATGCTTATGAAGAAAGCTGAAAGGACAAACAACTGCAATGACCTGGAAGAATATATAAGAGCCTGTTCAGAATCAGAATCAAAACTAAAAGAAACTTTGACAGTAACGGGCACAGAAAGTGGGATTGACCTACCCAAAATCCACTAACTGCACTGTAAGTCCAAACGCAGCTGGAAAAAGTATCCATTTTGTGTACATCCCAAGAAACGCAAAATAGGAAGCTATCTATTGTTGACATTATGCTAGTCAGTGTTAAGCAAGTTGAGAATTGTGCATTGTGGAGAACATCGACACAAATAGCAGTGGAATTAAGCATGAATACAGAATGCTAAATAACTCCAAAAAGTTCACCTTCGTGCCATAATAGTTACATATATCATCTATAGGCTGCACAGTGAAGTCCCACCAGTTCAATGCCCAACTTCTTAGAAGCTGCTTCGTCTTTTTTTCATCTGCAAAGATATTTTAAATCTGCTTTGGTTGTTTCTAGACCGCTGTTAACTTGAGCATATCAGAGAAAACATACCATGCACAGGGAACACTTCTTTAACAATGCCCACTGACTCCAATATTCGCAAAAGAGGCTTTCCTGGCTCCCAGTGCACTTCAATTCCATCAGACTTTAATACAACTGTTGAGGTGCTTGTGTTCACCTGCAATTTTGGACTTCTCAAACATGAACTGAGAGTATGGGAGGAATACAGTGAGCTATATTGCACCACAAAAGAATTTTTTTATTCCAGTCTAGATTACTCTCTTTTTTGAATAAACTAAGACACAGAAGATTTATTTATGATAAACGGAAAAAACTAATAGTTGCAAAGATGGGGAACCTAAAGAGCACTCGAAAAGACGCGCTTCAGACTTGCCTAATTTGATACAGACAATCAAATGAAGGCGTGAATAAACTTATGCATCAATTAGGACAAGAAAGCACAAATACTAAAGCGGGCTAGGATGCCAGTTAACTCACAATCCCATATATTATGTGGCGGTAGCAACAGTAGCGTTCAAACCAACTAAACAACGAGCCATCTGGCTGCCTTTCAAATGCTTCAACCTCATCCCAGTGAAATTGCAAATCCACTCCTGAAACCAAAATTGTGTGCTCAGAATTAAGCAAAAGCCTGCAATTTTTTCGGACAGGTGAATCAGCCAGTAATTGCATCAGATCATACATAGAAATGAGAAACGAGAGAAATTTTAATAGGAAACTGAAGAAAGATTTCATGATTATCACCGATATGAGTCCGTTTCTTCAATTGCAACTCTGCTGCAGCCTTGCCAAGAGTTTCAATTGGCGCTCCCAACTGGAAAAAAAGAGCTTGTGATCATTAAATTTTATATGCAGAATCAAGAACAAACCAGCAACAAGGAGATACCTGTCTAGTGACCAGACCTATTTTGTTAATATGAACCAATTATATATATCACGCCCATAATTTGTATTTTCTAGTTAAAGAGAATTTCGGAAACAACCTCTAAAAAGGCATGGGTAAGGTCTGCGCACACTCTACCCTCCCCAGACCCCACTTGTGGGAATACACTGGGTATGTTGTTGTTGTTTGTAGTTAAAGAGAATTAGAATCATAACAAAAGGGACGGCCCACATATTGTAGAATATGCGTGGATACATGCATAACCACGGGCAGTTCTTGCGTTTCAATGTGTGATTCTTCAATGCTTTACCCATCTTGCTATCTTTTTTAAGCAAAAGGACCTACTCCCTCTATCCATCCCAATTTATGTGACACACTTGACTTTTTAGTCTGTCCTAAAAAAGACTTCTCAATTAATGAAAAATCCATTAATGAGATGATTTATAGCCACGGAAATATCTACGACATGTTTTAGATCACAAGTTTCAAACACTTTCTTTCAAACTCTTAAGTCGTCCTATACTAGCTCTTAGTTTGTATGCAGTAACAACTATGGGTGCATTTTCTCAGTCTCAAGGATCCAAATTTCAGCTCTAAACTTTTGGGGTCCTCTATATCCCACAAAGAAAGACCAAAGCCTACCACACCCAGTTATCAATGTGTGCCAAGCTTAATTAATACTATGCTGTTCTTACGTGCTTGTTAGTCATTTCTGCTGTGACTAACAAGAATAGTATACTGCAAAATTCCTACTAAATTGTAGTATGCAGGGCAGCTTCAACCTACTTCAGTTTTCACCTAGAATCTCCATCTGTTCGGGTATATCGATATGATTGTTTATTGTAACACAATATTACAGAATAGAAATGTTAAATAATCCGTCATAGTAAGTAAGAAAGCGACTGCTTAGAGGAAAATAAAACAAACGTAAATTAAACAACGGGAATTTCTCATGTACTAAATTCAAACAAGAACAGAAACTATCTACTTTAATATTACTAAGTTATTTCAAGGAATTAACCTCTGAATATTTTACTAATCGTAACGTCAACAATAGTAATACAGCTGAATTTAGAACGGAAACGGACCCTGATGAATTCATTCTGAAGGCCAACAACTCTGTCAACAATTAATCCCGCTTTTCGAAACTCTTCAACGAGAACCTCAATGCAGTCACTGCTCTTCGGAACCACCACGCCAATTTCAAAGGCCGTTTCTTCCTCTACACCATTCCCATTCATTTCCTAAAATTTATCGCTTCCTAAAGTCCCCAAAAATGTTCGACAGCTCCAACGAGGGAAAGTGTGAATCCTCGCTGAAGCTAAAGGAACATGAAATCAAATAACGTCAATGAAATTATCGAATTAAAGCCAAAAAAAATGTGACGAACATAAGCGTTTCGGAGCAGAGAGAAAATGGCGGAGAAATACACGAGAGCTGTGAAAGCAAGGGGGGGAAAGGTGACACATATGCTGAGGGGAAGAAGAGGAGTGGCAGAACACGTGGAATTGGCGCCTGTTGTTTTTTGTGTAACCGTTTTTGGATACCCTTTCAGCAATAAACAGGTCAAATTTTATAGGCACAAACCACAATGCAGTATGGATTGCTGTGCTCTATATATTTTCTTTTAATTCGTCTTTTTGTATTCGGGGCGGAGATGAGTGTTCTTTCTATGTCTGTTGTAATTTGTTTAACACGTTTCGTTTATAATGACTCAGCATTATCAAACCATATACTACGAGTATTATATATTGAGATAGATTTATTGTCACGATCCAAAATTTCACCACAGAAGTCGTGATAACACCTAGTCTTTAAGATTAGGTAAGTCAATTTTTATTATATTTTTGAAGCTATTTTTTTTTTAAAATAAAAACGAAAATAATTACAATATACAATCTCCTAAGACTGGTAGTATTAAGTCACGAACTCTAACTGAATACATAAAATGATCACGAGGACCGAATATACAATATTGTTTGATTACAAGTTAACAGTACAATGAAATGAAAAGACTCCAAGGGACTGCGACGACCAAGCAGCTCTACCTTGAATCTTTACGATCCCGCTTTAACTCTGCTCAAGTCCATTATCTTCAATACCTGGCTCTGCACAAAAATATGCAGAAGTGTAGTATGAGTACGCCATGATCGGTACCCAGTAAGTATCAAGACTAACCTCAATGGAGTAGAAACGAGATACAGTCAAGACACTCACTAGTCTAATAACTTGTGCAATATAATATACAAAATAATAGGAAACAAATAACAATAGCGCAACATGAAACAACCAGTGATATGCACAGCAGACAACAAGAATACCATTAATATCCCCCAACAATTAATAAGTACAATTACACTCAATTAAATCAAGTCCTTCAAATAAATGTCTTTCACATATAATTCTTCTAAATAATTCTCTCTCAAATATAATTTTCTCAAATAATTATTTTTCAAATATAATTCTTTCAATAAATCTTTTCAAATATAATTTCCTCAAATAAATATCTTTCCCATACAATTCTTTCCTATAATACTTTCTAAGTAAAAATCCTTCAAAATAAATATTTTGAATATAATTCTTTCAAATAAAAAGTCACCATGTGACACCTCATTTCATAATCATAAAAATACAGGTCTCAGCCCATTTTTATATTTTTCGTAAACACGGGTCTCATCTCATTTTCATATTTTCACGACACCTCGTGCCCATAATTAAATTATCATATTTTTTCGGCACCTTGTGCCCTCATTTCATATCACAACTACACGGACAATTCACGTTCCAATTATCATTATCATTTCATCATAACACCTCGTACCCATATTTCATATCACAACTGCACGGACAATTCACGTGCCAAATATTCTCATTATTTACTCACGGCACCTCGTGCCCACTTTTCATTTTATAATCCGCTTGGCAATAGCCACAGGCTCTCAATTTCAACATAAATCAGATTGTTATCAATTTACCAACAACAAGACAAGTTGCACAAGGTATAAAAATAAACACAAGAAAATCACAACATCACATGAAAATTATCAATACCACAACTCAACATCATCACATATCGTCCCTGACAATAGTCACCCTTATCGCTCCTATTGCCACCCTTATCACTCCTATTGCCACCCTTATCGCTCCGCCCAAACAATATCAATAGCCACCCTTATCGCTCCTATTGCCACCTTTATCACTCCTATAGTCATCCTTATCGCTTCGCCTAGACAATATTCCAACAAACACAACAACAGTGAAATGCCACCCTTATACCCACATAATATCAACGGTGAAATGCCACCCTTATCTCCCCAAAATAATAACTCACACAACACAATAATTTACATGAAAAATTAACACGACAATATAATAAAATCAATTCATATCACAATTTGCCCAATGGCCACAACCAAATTTCAAAGATATAACAAAATCAATTAATTTCACAACAAATAACCCAGGGCTCCACACAATGTATATAACACCCAAAAACAATCAATAGAGATAGAAAAATAATCAACATAGGGCACACCTTCATTAATCCAAATTTAGATAATTATATTAACACATCTTCTTAAGTTCATTTAATTAATTATTTGCAGAGAAAAAATTCATAATGAAATTAAATCCCACGAATATCAAACTCACAGAATTCACATAAATATACAGGTAACATGCACATCATCATATAAAAATAAATTCAATAAATGTGAATTGAATCATGGCAAACAAATGACTAAATAAATGCCAACAATTATCCAATTAACTACACAATATGCCCAAGACTCTAACTCAATAAAATTTGCACATATAAGCCTGAGTACGTACTCGTCACCTCGCGTACACGGCTTTTCACATTTCACAAATGACACATAAAACACGATACCTAAGGGGTAATTCTCCCACTCGAGGTTAGAAAAGACACTTACCTTTTTGAAGTTAGGTCGATATTCCAAAATAGCCTTCTTCCTTGAATTGACCTTCGAATAGCTCAAATATATCCAAATTAATTGTACAACTTCATTAAAATTCATCGGAAATATTTTCGGATAATAATACGTCGACTTAAAATTTTATTCCAAAAAGTCAACAAAAGTCAACGCGGGACCCGCCTATCGGAACCCGACATAATTTTTATAAAATACGAACACTCATTCCGATACGAGTTCAACCATACCAATTTTATCGAATTCCAATAACAAATCGACCTCCAAATCTTAAATTTAAACCAAGAGGATTTTCTACAATTTTCAACCCAATTCACTAATTTAATGATAAAAACAACAATAGATTTATGTAATTTAACCAAAATCAAGTTAGGAATTCTTACCCCAATATTTTTCTTGAAAAACTCTCGAAACATCACTTCACCTGAGCTTCCTTGGTCCAAAAATGGAAGAATGACACGAATTTGGACTTTATTCTGCTGCCCAGGGGTTTGTTCTTCGCGTTCGCGAGACTCCCTTCGCATTCGCGATGAACAAATTCTTCAAAAGTCATTTTCACACTCTTCTCAGACAATCTCTAGTATAATGGTCATAACTTTTTGTACAAAATCTCAAATAATAAATGGTTTGACTTTCGAAAAACTAGACTCCAAGGACTATAACTTTCGTTTGTTGCCCATCTCCCAATTCCTTATAGATTATGAGATATAAGCTTCCAAAATCAGTCTTGTGCAACAGAGATTTCCAAACTTTTTTCGGACAGCCTATATTATATCCACCACAACTTTTTGTACACAACTTCAAATGACAAATGATTTACCTTTATAAATACTAGACACAAGGGGCTACAACTTTCAATTTTGGATGATCTCCAAATTTCTTATAGATTGCAAGATATGAGCCTCTAAAGTGAGATGACGAACAACAAAAGTTCCTTCTTCGCGAACGCGAGAACCTCTTCGTGAATGCGAAGAACAAAGTCCCAACAGCAAAATCCTTCTTCGCGAACGCGAGAGGCTCCTCGCGAACACGAAGAACAACACCAGAACCTTCAACCAGCAGCATCAAAATACCCAAACTTGGTCCAGAATCACCCCGAATCAAACCGAGGCTCCCGGGACCCCGTCCAATCGTACCAACCAGTCCCAATACATAACACGAACCTGCTCAAGGCCTCAAATCACATCAAACAACATCAAAGCCACGAATCATATCCCAATTCAAGCCTAATGAACTTTGAAATTTTAAATTCTATATCTTGTGCCGAAACACATCAAATCAATTTGGAATGACTTCAAATTTTGCACACAAGTCATAATTGACATAATAAAGTTATTCCAATTTCCAGAATCGGATTCCAGCCCCGATATCAAAAAGTCAATCCCCGGTCAAACTTTTCCAAAAATTCCATCTTTTGCCATTTGAAGCCAAATTCCTCTATAGACCTCCAAATAATTTTTCGGACACGCTCCTAAGTCCATAATCACCATACAGAGCTATTGACATCATCAAAATTCTATTACGGAGTCGTCTTCACATAGTTCCAACTACGGTAAAAATTTTAAGACTTAAGCTTCCGTTTTGGGGACCAAGTGTCCCAAATCACTCCAAATCATCTGGTAACTGAATTCAACCACACACGTAAGTCAATACACATAATAAGAAGCTGCTCATGGCCTTATGTAGCCAGACGAGGCTTAAATTCTTAAAACGACAAGTCGGTCGTTAAATTCTCCACCTCTTAAACAAATGTTCATCCTCGAACGTGCTAATAATTATTATGAGGTTACCGAATTGATAATTTTTACTTTTACACATATACTCACGGTTGGTCCCACGTTACTGTATTGGAGGTAAGTCCGGCAACACCATCTCATTTGAGATTATTTCTTTTATCCATATTTGTGAACCTTAAGACCAATTTCTTACATTCCAAACATTTTCAGAAAGTCCGATTTTTCATCAACGCACGGTATTAGTCTCAACTGGCTATAGCAACTCGTGCCTACGCACACATCAACTTTCTTGATAGTGTTGAAGTACTTCAAAATTTTTATAGGGTGTTACATTCTTCCTCGCTTAGGATCATTCGTCCTCAAATAGATAATATAATTTATCTTTTCTTTCACACATATCAATCTCCCAAATTTTTTTTCTAACTCCCAAATTTTTCAGAAAATTTCGGCAGAGTCTTCCCTGTAAATGGGCCTATCCACTTGCGAGAGTAACATCAAAACGACTCCTAACAACACATCCACAAGGTATATATCAATAACACTGATCTCAGCATT